GAGGCAGTTAATCACACAGGAGGAAACTGCCCTTCTTTCACCTGCAGAGCAGCTGATGGATTCGAACTGTGTGCCATCAGAATTGCAGTGCACAGGCAGAAAGGGAACAACACTTAAAAAGAAAAATCTGTATGTACTGACATCAATAATTTCTGATTATAGTGGTATGTAAATGTGGTGTCAGAAACCTTAATTGGCTTTTTTAGCCATTGCATTAGCCTCTGCTGGGGACATGATCTCCAACTACCTTAACTGGAGATGCATAGTCTTGCAAATCATCAAGAGCTGTGGGACCAATAGAAAAGAATACTTCCCACACTGTGAAAAATGGTGGTAGAAAGAGGGTGAAGAGACTGTGACACTGCTATGAAACAACTATAACCAGAGGAACACTATAGATGGAGCCATACTTAAGGGTTTTGCTTGCTGGGTGACTGAAGGAAAAGTTGACTAGTAACTGATCTGAGATAAAATTTGCTGGATGATTGGGGAAACCATAAATTTATCTGTGCTGCTGAACCGAACTTGGATTTTCACTACTTGAAAAACTGTGTCTTGCTGTTAAACTACCTTGGGACTGCTGGACTAAATTGGGATTTACAGTGTATGATATTCTTTGCCTCTTCCATGTCCTAACTTATCTCCCTAATAAACCTACAACTGTAAGTAAAGTTTGTGAGACAACTTGCAACAGACACTGAGCCCAATGATTCATAGAAATAGGATCAGGAGCATGGGGGATGGCATGTCTGATTATGTGGATGTTATTGATGGAGACAGTTCTCTTTATGAAGCAGGCAGAAGTCAGATTTGGCCTTCCCCATGTTTCCATTGTTCCTTTCACAGAGAAAAACATAGGTCGCAAAACAATATATGCAGTATGATGACACTTACATAAAATACATCAACAACAACCAAAAAAACCTCCTCTCTATATATGCACACTTGTATTTATTAATGCATGAGAAGAGATGTAGGATATTTGCCAATTTGAAAGTAGTCTATTTCTAAAAAAGTATAGCGATTTTATCATGTCTACAAATTCCTCCTTTCAAAATATGAAGCCAAGTTTCATATTCCATGAATATGAGTCAGAAGCACTGACTTATTACTAACAAATATTCTTGTTATGTGCCTTCAATCAACTATGTCTCAAAGCAACTCTTTGAACAGCAGACCTGTCTGAACCTTCTCCTGTCCTGTGCCATTCTTTCCATCTCTGACACACTTAAGCCCATTGTTACAGTCATCATGTCCATCTATCTTGTTGTGGGTCTTCCTCTCTTCTGTTGACCTTCCACCTTTCCAACTGTGATGTCCTTCTCCAAGATCTGGCCCCTCTTCACAACATGTCCAAAGTATGTAAGATGGAGTTTTACCTTCCTTGCCTCAAAGGAGCCCACTAGTTTCTCTTTTTTCAGGACAGATCTTTTCATTTGTTCTGTTGGCAGTTCATGTAATATTTAATACTCTTCTCCAATACCAAAGGCGCAATTCTTCTTCTGTCATCATTAGCTCAACTTTCAGATGTATAGCAAGCAGCTGATAACACCATGGCTTTGATTAGGCACTCCGTAGTCTTTCAAGTTACATCATTACTCTTCAGTACTCTGGAGAGGTCCCTACCAACAGATTTTCCCATTGCAGTATGGCCAACAGACAACATCATGACAGACAGAGACAACATTGTAATCTTCCTTATATCCACAATAAACACCCTTAGTACCAGCAGTCAAGAAGTCAAGAGACTAACAAATACTCAAACTCAAACTCACTGCCTTCGAGTCAGAACTGACTCTGAGCAGACCCTTCTGCCGGGCTTTGGAGGCAGACAATTGCACAGGAAGACTGCTCATCTGGCTCTGACAGAGGAGCTGGTTCATTCAATCTGAGTGACTCTGGGTTGGCAATGCAACTCCTCACAACTCAGCCACCAGATCTTCCCACTAACAAACAGAATACTGCAAAAGTGATCCAAAGCTAATACATAAAAGGGACAGTGACCACAAGACTCTGGCTCTCTTAGATCAATGGATCTGGAAGCAGCCATGCCTTGAGAAAAGGTGCAAGTGGACAGGAACTAAAGCCTCCAACTAGCAGTCAGAACTAGCTAGCCATCTTGGAAAGAAACCTCCAACCCCAGACTAAGATTAACAGCAAATCTAATCAACATTTGACAGAAAGCTTGAAAGAAACCACCATCAAACCATTCCTTATTCTTGATATACAGGATCTGTGAAATATAATGTTTATTGCTACTTTAAGCTGCACAATTGAGATACTCAATAATTCTGCAATCAATAATAGTACAGGATGAAACCAACATGGGGATGAAGAAATGAGGGGATGGATAGCAGAGGCAGAAATTAACCAAAGGGATATTTCAGTTATTTAAAAATATATTCACAAAATAATTTATGAAGTTTAAAATATTAAAATTCTTAATTTAAGCACCCTAGGTATTTTGATGGTTTAATTATGATGTTGATGAAAAATACTGGATATACCATGGACCATCAGAATAATGAAACAGAAAGAAAATGTGTGTTGAAGTACAACCAGAATGCTCCTTAGAAGCAAAGACAGCAACATTTCATCTTATTTACTTGGGACATGTTCTCAGGAGGGACCAGTCTCTGGAGAAGAACAACGTGTATGGTAAGGTAGGTTGTAGGCAAAAAAAAAGAGGAAGACCTTCCACAAGATGGAATAATATAGTGGAAAAACAATGAAATGGAACATAGCAACATTTGGAGGATGACACTGGACCTACTAGTGGTTTATTCTGTTCCACATAAGGTCACTGTAAGTCAGAATTGACTTGGTGATACAGCACAGAATATAACAAGTATTTTGAACTTTAAGGCATTACTTTTTAAAAAGCACATTAAAAACCAATTTTTTGCATTTTTTTGAGGACAAATTTATTTTCTCAAAATATATGATTAAAGAATTCACCTAAATTCCACATACAATTGGAATCAGGTCATAGTCTTCACATCTATGATGATATACTATCTAAATAAATGAGTTGAGATCAGAAGACCAGAGAGTGTTCCATCGACCATTATGAATGCTTTGATAAAAGACTCCATTTTGAAAATCATGATCAAACGGGTGTAAATGCAGAACGGTATTTCACACTCTCATAGGCTCTAGATTTTCTGTAGCTATAGAGGGTGGATAAAGCCCTGAAACTACTGCTCAGAGATCATCTTTAAACCTGATACCATAAATGTAGCCTGAAGTGGTCTTAAAACCAGAGTTTAGCTTAACTAGCGAAAAAGTTTTTCTTGAGCATTAAGCTACTTTAAAAACTATCTACACACAATCATGAAAAAAGAAGAGAAAAATCCTTCTTACTCAAAGTGAGGAGGTACATGAAATGCTTGCTATTGAAGACCAAAGACTATATAGTCGTCAATATAGATTTCACCTCAACATCATAAAACCAAAATCCTCACCACTGAGCAACATTATGATAGATGGAGAAAGGATTGAAATAGTCAATGATTTCATCTAACTTTGATTCACAATCAACATCCTTAGTACCAGCAGTTAGCAGATCAAGTGCCATACTACATGAGATTGTTTGCTGTCAGAGATCTCTCCAAGACACTGAGAAGCAATGATGTCCATTTAAAGACTGAGGTGCCTCTGATTCAAACCATGGTTTTTCAATCACTTCTTGTGCATTTGAGACCTGAACAATAAATGGGAATGACAGAAAAGAAGCGATACTTTTAAGTGATGGTCCTGCAGAAGTGTGCTGAATATCCTATGGAATGGCCAACAAACAGGAGGAAATATAGTCAGAACACTCCTTAAAAACTCTGTCTCACATATTTTAGGCATGTTATAAGGATAGGTTATTCCCTGGAAAGGGACATTATCATAACAAAGGCGGAGAGGGAGAACTTCAACAAGATGGATTAACATAGTGACTGTAGCAATAGGCTCAAGTGTGTCACAGATGGCACAAGATAGGGCAGGATTCAGATCTGTTGTTCTGTTCATCTTTTGTCCTCAACTCAACAGAAACCAACAGCAAAAACAATGTTATTTCCATTTCCCACATTTATTTCTACTACGGATTCCTAGGAACCAGTCTACTATGAACTGGCAAAATAACAAATAAATCAATCCTGGAAGAAGTATAGTCTGAGTGCTCCTTAAAGGTAAGGTTGGTGGTACTTTATCTCATATCAATAGGAACCAATCCTGAGAAAGACATTATGCAGGAAAAAGCAGAGGGTCCCAGAAAAAGAAGATGACCCTCCCCAAGAGAGACTGGCATAGTGACGACCACAATGAGTGCATCTGAGACAGTGAGGATAGTCGAGGATCACCCAGGGATTCTTTCTGCTGCAAAGGGTAGCTATGAGTCTGAGCCAAGTCAACCACACCTAACGAAAACAAGACAACATACAATTGATTCCCAGTATTTCAAAGCAAAATCCAGCATGGCAAATTTAAAAAACACAAAAGAAAGCTGGCAGGTCCTGACATTCTCTGCAAATTTCATTTGATAAGCACCCCTATGGCAACAAGAGGCAATAATAGGATACCCTTTGAAGCTGTTTTTTTAAAAAGTCTGTCTTCATTATCTTTCTTGGCTGGAAAGTACTGTATTCACATATTTCTTTTCTCAATTGCTTCACCTCTCAACCACCATACCTTCTCATCTCTACTCTCCTACTCTACTCTCCTGTGATGACACAGCAGTCAAGCAACTCTGTTGACTGCCGTGACTACTCAGTTACTCAACAAGCTGACCTGACACAGAAGCTGCAACAATAAGCTTAAACACAACAGAGATTGTGATGACAGTGCAGGATCACGCAAGTCTTCAGGCCTGCTTGTACAAAGGGTCACTATAACTCAGAGCGGACTTGATGGCATCTCATGAAATTACATAAATATTTCCTCATGTAGAAACATACCGCTTCAATGGGGTAAAGAATAAGCATTACAAAGTATACAAATATAAAAACACAAACCTTTAGATGAAGTTTTTGAAGAATTCGGGTGAGCAACCGTGGAAATCTTCCAATATCCATTGTGTTAATCAGCGACACTGCTTTTTTCATGCTAAACAAATTCATAAAGTCTTCACATGAGTTTTGCAAGGTGACTTGTACTATTAATTTTCATTTTAACAACCCTGACAGCAAAAGAGGCAACTCACTTTTGAACATTGAAAAAAAAAAAAGAAAATGTCTTCCAAAACTAACTGTTTTAGCTAAAATGTGTGTGTGTGTGTGTGTGTGTGTGTGTGTATTCCATTTGGAAATGTTTTCCCATTCTTTTAAGCAAAGCAAATGACTAATTAAATCTTGCATTCTTTCAGTGAGAATATTCACGGATTGGTAGGCAGTCAGATACCCACTTAAATCAAGTGAAAATCTGAAATGGTGGGAGGAGGAAGTGGTGATGAGAACAGTTACACCAAAAACAAAATGGAAAAGAATATTACATGGCAAATAAAAGAATTAAAAAATTAAAAAGTTACAAACAAATCATTTAAGATCACTAAGTATGCCATTTAAAATTTTACTTCTATTTTTATACTCAACTTTAAATTGTCATATGAACAATTCCAATATACCATACTAAGGATGACAGAATAGATGCCTTCGAGTTGTGGTGCTGGAGAAGAGTGAACATACCAGGGACTATCAAATAGGTCTGTCTTGGAGAAGGTGAAACCAAGTCTCTCCTTGGATGGCAGGATTTTGAAACTCCATCTCACTTACTTTGGGCATGTGGCCAGGAGAGACCAGTCCTTGGAGGAGGACATCATACTTGGAAGGGTGGACTGACAGAGCAAGAGAGTGAGACCCAGGATGAAATTAATTGATACAGTAACAGGCAATGGGGGTTGGTGTATCGCAGTTAATGAGACTGGCTCGGGACACAGAAGGGTTCAGAGCTGTTGCAGGGAACTAAATGGCACATAAAAACAGTAACATACTATGACAGGTTTGGAAGCAGGAGCGGCATCCACTTCCTAAATAGCATGCCTCCGGATTCTATGAACTTTGAAAAACGTCGATAGTTGTAGAGGAGTTTCAGGCCTTTTGTGCATTGGGTCACTCTGAGTCATGCTCAACTTTAAAGCAATCAACAACATACTGGATATGATTTACTGATACAGTGTGTTGTATCCAAGTGGTATAGTCAGTAGGGAGTCGCACTGTTAATATAAAGGCTATGCTTCTCTGCTAATTCAAATTGACCAGAGGTTCCACCACAGAAAGGTGGACAATCTCTTCCCTTAAGATTTACAGCCTTGGAAATCTAACAAAGGGTCAGTTATGAGTCAGTTCCAACTCCACAACAATGAGTTTGAGTTTGACCCAGGACATGGGTCAGAACACAAAAGAGTCCAGGAAGAGGGAAAAATTTAAACAACTGTCTTCTGAAAGACTCTTGCCAAATACAGACAAAAAGAAATTATTTCCCAACTTAAATATCTGCTCACATATTTCAGTATACAGTCAATATCCACATATAACCTATGTTGTTATGTGCCATCTAATCAGAACCAACATATACATGGACCTTCAGAGGGTTGTCAGAGGCTGTAAATTACATGGGAGGAGATTGTCCATCTTTCTTCCACTAAGCAGCTTGGGGATTCTAAGTTACTATTGTTGGGTTGGCAATGAACTCCTTACCACCAAAGCTCGCTATCCACATTATTTTTTTATTTTTATTTTTTTATTAAGGAGGAGTCTTGTGGTTAAGTTGTTAACTGCTATCCTGCTACCTGGAAGTGGGTGAGTTCTCAGAGAAAAATCAAGATGCCTGCTTCCAGAAAGATTTTCAGACTTAAAAACTCCACCCTGCCCTATAGGTATTTTTCATTAAGTTGGACCTAGTTTTACTTAATTTTATTTCAAAGGAGAAGGTTTTTATCAAAATCTTAGATGGCCAGAAGTAGAAAATTATGCAAAGTAAGCAAAAGTTAAAGTTACCAAAGCCTGGCTAGCTATTGATGTCAGTTGAAAACTCCTACCTAGACCTACTCTATCCTGATTTAACCAAACCAAAAACCAAACACAGGGCATTCCAACTGATAGTTTGCCTGTAGAACTGTCTATAGGTTTCCAAGGAACAAAGGCCAAATGGAATATTTTTCTAATTAATATAGCATTATTGGAGCTCTGGTGGCCTACTGGTAAGAAGCTGTGCTGCAATCTTAAAGGCACGCTGTTCAAATCCACCAGCTGCTTCACAAGAGAAAGACAGACAATCTCCTGATTAAGTGCCTCTGAAAACCTGTTAGAAGGTCAGCTATGGGTTGGTTCCGACTTGATGGTACACAACAAGAACATAGCATTATTACTTGTATAGGGAGCTCTGGTGACAGTGCTAAGGAGGTATACTGTCAACCTAAAGTCAGCTGTGTGGAAGCCACCAGATGCTTGGTGGGAAAACGATGGGCAATCTCCTCCTATGTAAATTACAGCCTCGAAAAACTCGGAGGTTCAGCTATAAGTTGGTTCTGACTAGACGGCACATAACATGACGGCAACAACAATGTAGGTGATGTGTGAATATGGATCATACGTGGACAAATAATTTATTTGTGTCTACAGTGGACAGGAATCTTCCAAAATAAAAGAGTTGTTTTAAAAATTTCCCCCTCTTCCTGGGTTCTTCTGAAGTCCTGACTCAACTCTGGATCAACAACTCATTACTGCTGAGTTGCAAATGGTTCATAATTGGCCCTTCACTGCAGTGTCCAAGGCTATAAATCCCAAGGAATTCTAATCTACCAAGCGTCACTGGGGGAGAAAGTCTCCTCCAGTGCGATTTACTGCCCCTGAAAATCCGCCAGAGGGTCAACGATGAATCAGTTCCAACCCTCGATGGTACACAACTACTGAATGGAGCGTCTGGGTCCTGATCGCGTATCTGGAGACCCGGGACACAGAACCACCTTTCACGCCTACTTTGCTGCCACTTGCAGAGTGAACCCCACAAGCCGGCAAGAAGGTGAACTGCCCCCCCTTACGCCGGCGCCCACGGCCACGCCCGCCGCCTGGGTTCGCAGGGCCCGGCTTGTCCGCCCCCCCCCAGGCCCCACCCGCCGCCTGTCTGGGGCCAAGACTTCAGGCAGCGGGGACATCTGCAAGTGCGACAGTCGGGGCCGGGCCGGCGGCTACCTGGGGGTCTCTTGTAGGACCATCGCCGCGGCCGCCATCCTTGCAGCTCACACGCCCGCGCCGCCTGTCAGCTGTGCCGAGCGCAGCCAATGACGATCTCCGTGGACGGGAACCCGGAAGGCTCAAGTTTATCAGCGAGCGCCAGGCCTGCGGTTCTTGCAGCCTGTATGGAGCTCCGGTGGCCAGGCCTCCAGAGTCCCCTGCGCTATCAGACAGGGGCGATGGCCATCATCTTCGTGCTCCCTGCCAGTTTAACGATGCCTCAATTAATGCTTTCTGATAATTAGCTGTAACTGGTTTGCTTATTGTTGCTGCTGTCAGATGCTCTCAGCCAAATTCTAACTAATAGTGACCCCATGTGAAAAGGAGAATTACCCTTACATTTAAGTAAGCAGCTCTGCGAGTCATTCTCCAGTAAAGCCACTGAATGGGTTCTTTACTGTGAGAAACTGTGTCACCAAAATGTCCCACGGCTATAGAAAATGTATATATTAGCTTATATTGTTGTGTTCCATAGAGTCCTAACTCATAGTTGACCCCCTGGTGGGTAAATCACATGGGAGGAGTCTGCCCTTTCTTCCTTACAAAGAGCGCTGGTGGATTCAAACAGCCTTCCTTTGGGTGGGTTACACAACTTAACCACTAAGCCACCATGATACTGTGTACATGGTGACAGAACTGGTCCATAGCTGACTTCTAGCGGATTTTCAGAGGCAGTAAATCACAGGGGAAGGTATCGCCCATTTGTCACGCACGGAGCAGCTGGTGGATCAACTGCATGCCTTCGGGTTGAGAGTGCAGCTTCTTACCACCAAGCCACCAGACCTACCTACATGTATGTACTAATTTTGTGTGTGTGTGTGTATAATTATATTTTATAACTGTTTATATATTTATGTGTCTAAGGAGGGTCACTGGGACACTGATGTGCCAAATGTGGTAATGGTTACCCATGGTGGACTGCGTTGGCTGGAGCTTCCTGACTAAAACAAGCCTGGAAGCAGGAGTGGCATCCACTTCCGAAATGGCTTGCCTCCAGAAACTGATGTATGAACAGTGCTCAGGCCTTTGGCTCATAGGGTCGCCATGAGTTGTCTATGACTGGACAGCACCTAACAACAACAACAACAAGGAGGGTCAGAGTAAATTAAGAGAAGACCCTCAACAAGATGAAATGGCATGGTGACTAACAGGCTGCAGTATATCAGAGATCATGAGGATGATACAGCATAGGGCAGGATTCAGGTCTGTTGTTCATAGGTCACTATGTGTCAGCTTGATGACCTTCAACAAGAACATGTATAATTGTTGTGTATTGTAGAATTGGAATTAACTCACAGCTGACCCTTCAACAGGTGTTCAGAGGCTGTAAATTGCATGAGCCATTACCAGTTTTTCTCCCACAGAGCAGCTGGTGGATTCCAATCTTAAGTCCTTGAGTTGCAGCACAGCTCCTTAGCTCCTTACAGCTAAACCAAAGTTCCCTATAAACTGATGTTGCAGCAACCTAAAATGTTAAACACATTTTTCAAACGGAAAGTGATTTTTTTTTCCTTTATTTATTCTATGTGCCTGCCATGTGACTCTTGGAACTTATATGGAACTAGTAATAAGAAAGAATTAGGGAAGTTTTAAACATAAATTTTTCATCAGGCTAAAGTACAAAATGTTTCCAAATCTCTAGTATTTCAAGAAGCAAAAATATCACATATTTTTTAAAAAAACTGAAATTACTATCAAACTAATACAAAAAAGACTATACATTTGAAGACTACAAATAACCAATTTCTCTCTCTTCAGTGAATTCTATGTAAGGATCAAGTTCTCAAAAAGTTAAGATTTTGTTTGATTCTCTTTCCCAGGATCAGAAATACCAAAATTATTACATTTCTGTTAATATATCAAGTCAGAACTAACCCATAGCTGACCCTTCAATGAGTTTTCAGAAGCAGTAAGTTCCACAGGTGTAGATTGCGCACTCTTCTGCCATAGAATAATGGGATGGATTTGAACTGTGTGGTTTTAGAATTGAAGTGCAGTTTCTTACCAGTAGGCCACCAGATGTTGTTGTTGTTATGTGCCGTCCAGTCTACTGCGACCCATAGTGACCTTATGGACAAAAGCTCTGAATGCTTCCCTGTCCTGAGCCAGTCTCACTGACTCTGACACACCTACCCTCATTGCCCCAGTCACTATATCAATCCATCTCATACGGGTTCTTCATCTCTTATGCTGTCCCTCCATCCTTCCAACCATGATGTCCTTCTCCAAGGACTGGTCCCTCCTGGCCACATGCCCAAAGTATGTGAGATGGAGCTTCAAAATCCTAGCCTCCAAGGAGAAACTTGGTTTCACCGTCTCCAAGACAGAACTACTTGTTTTCTTGTTGGTCCATGGTATGTTCAAGACTCTTCTCTAGCACCACAACTCAAAGGTAAAATCAGGAAAGGAGGGCATCAGGGATAAATCCTGTCTCCAGACCTTTCCAATCTATATGCTGAACAGATCATTCAGGAGAAGGGGCTTTAGGATGAGGGATGTGGCATCAGGATTGGAGGAAGACTCATCAACAACTTGCATTATGCAGATGATGCGACCTTGCTTCCTGAAAGTGAGCAGGACCTGAAGCGAATGCTGCAGAAGATCAAGGACTGTAGTCTGCAATATGGATTGAAGCTCAATATCAAGAAAACAAAGATTCTCACCATTAGGCCAATTGGCAGCACCATGATAGACAGAGAAGAGATTGAAGTTGCTAACAATTACAGCTTGCTTAGCTCCACAATCAACATTCTTGGCACTAGCAGTCAGCACAGAAGAGGAAAAGCCTGGATGAGTTGGACCGACACAATAACTAGGTTAATGGAGGTAAGTGTGTTAGTGACAGTGAGATTGGCTCAGGATAGTGCAGCGTTCAGAGCTATTGTGCATAGGGTTGCTTTGAGTTGCAGGTGATTCAATGGCACATAACAACAACACTGCAGTTAAGGAATTTCAGGAATGCAGGGATTCCAAGACTTTTTACCTTGACCTTAGAGAATGAAAAGGATTCAGAAGTGGGAACAATTATGGACATCTGTGAGAGGTATGACCAGGAAAACGGTCCTGGAACAGGTGGTATGTATGTGCAGTGGGCATGTGCAGTGCACATATCAGGATGGGGAAGTCTGGAGTTTGTGGAGCCCTATGGATGAAGTTCAGAGAGCCCTCAGGAAATACAGCTAGTAGAAATCTTTTTAAATGGTGGTCTGTGGCTTGTGAACTTAATCCGGGAGAAATGTTTTCAAGGAAAGAAATTTTATGAGAAGGGCTGGTTTTGAAGATTACTGTCAACAGAATGATCATTGGGTTGTGAAGAGGTAAGCAGGGAAGCTGAATAGAAACCTATTACAATAATCTATGGAAAGCCACACAGCCCTGTGGTAGTAAAAAGGCACAGGGGAATGAAAAGATAGTAGATGGATTAGAGTTACAGTTGCATTTCAGCAGTGAAATCTTCAGGAGTTGGCAAAAGATTGAATTTCATTTTCCTTCCTAATTATGTTTTACTTAAATTATTATTTAAATTAGTTGGCATTCCTAGAGCAGCCCAGAGACATCCCAACTGAAAGGAGAAGCCAGATTGCAAATTAAAAGTGAATAATCCCCACATGGATAATTGAGTCAATTATACAGTGTGTTGAACACATACAAATACATTTAGTTCCACAACACTCCACTCACGCCCCAGTTTATGCAGTATCTGAAAAGATGTGTGGGAATCTACATAAATTATAGGTCTTTGATCCAAACACAGATTACCTTACTTAGCCCAATTTCAAAAGGGGCTCATTACTATCCATTTTTCAATTATTTCCCTTTTGCCTGGATACAATGCCTGAATCAGAGGTACCAACCAGCTAAAACTGGTTCAAATCTCTAATGAATTTCTTCTCTGTTGCCATCAAAGACATAACTGGGATCCTGAGCAGACAAGCACAGTCCAGCTTTGAGCTCTTTATTTACAGTTATCTGTGACCTTGGACAAAGCCCTCAGCCTTAAAAAGCCTCCCATTCTCATCTATATAATGGGTATGAGAATAATGTTTGCTCCTTTGAAATACGGTAAAGATTAAAAACGTGGTATGTATGTGTTCGCTTCGGCAGCATATATACTAAAATTTAAATCAGAGACGTTTTTAGCATGGCCCCTGCACAAGGATGACATGCAAAAACAGGATATGTAGGTACATGAAGCCTACTCCTTCTATAATAACAAAGCACAGACCCTCCAAAATGCTAGCAAAAGTCTCCAGTGGATAAAAAGTCCTCTCCCATTAATACTCATTTTCACTGCTAGGAGAATTCATCTTATAACCATTTGTTTGTTACTATAAAGGCTTGGTGAAATATTTTCACATCTCAAATGAGCACCTCATCCAAGCATTTCTGTGTTGTACGGAATTATCTAAATATATATCCATGAAAAAGCCTTTGTAGTTGTCTCACTGTTGTCATCTTTAGAGATCAGAAAATGTGCCCTTGGAGGCAGAATTCCATAATTGTGCTTTACCCTTCCCTCTAAAAAAACATAACCCCACATTTATAATGTATCTGGGGCCAGATCTGCTGCCCCTGATCCATTGTGACCCCCAAATCATGCTCATGTCCCTAAACTCTCTTCCAGCCCATTGCCTTCATTGCAGGCTTCCACAAATTCTTTTTTTTTTTTTAACTTTATGTCTTAGCAGAATGTAAAGTTTCCCTAGAAAATGTACCCTGAGTTGCCTGCTGGGGCTTCATCAAGAGATCTAATTGCAAAGAAGTCAGAGTGAAGACAAAATGGAATAAAGATGGGTAAAGAGAAAGCAAACACATAGTGACATCTCATACAGCTGGCTACAGCTTCAATAGCCAGCTTATTTCCTAGTAATGTGCTTTGGTGACAGCCAAAAGGTCACTGATTTGATGGCAGTGGGTGGGTGGGATATTTCCAGTGAGACAATTTGGAGACACTGTCTTGGAGAAGGTGCAGCCAGAGTGCTCCTTGAAGATAAAGATGAAGAAGCTTTATCTCATATACTTTGGACATGTTGCCAGGAGTTTTTATTC